GTAAAATGGTAGAACCATTCTGGAAGGCAATTTGGCGCTTCCTCAAAAAGCTAAACAGAAATTTCCTAGACCTAGCTATTCCAGTGCTTGGAGTATACCCCAAGAAAATGAGAACTGCGGCTCCAAGGAGACTTGTACCACAGTGTTCATAGCAGTGTTACTCACAATCACAAAAATGGGAAACAGCCCAGATGTGCAGCCACGATCGAATGGATCAAGAAGGTATGGTGCATTCAATACTATGCAGCACACAGGAGCAATGATTTTGTAAATTACTACCTAACACGTGAGAGACTGGAGAGCATTACACTGAGTGAGCTAACTCAGTCCCATAAAGACAAATACTGTATGAAATCATTATTATAGGATAAGCATGAGGATCCAAGGTCGGGGGGGGGTGGAGTTTTAATCATAGAGTAGCACGGTTAGATAGGGAAGTCGAGGAAATGGGAAAGATCTTCTGTGAAAATAAATATATTCAAACTTAGTAAATAAATCAGTAAAAAAAAAATGTTCCTGGTCGTACTGTGGAATACCATTGAGTTGGAACCAACCCGTAGCTAACCCTCCAGGGAGTTTTCAGAGACAGTTAATTGCATGAGAGGAGATTGCCCATCTTTCTCCCTGTTGTTGCTGTACAATTATTTTTTAGTTGTTGTTAAGTGCCGTTGAGTCATAGGCAACTCATAGTGACCTTATGAACAAAAAACCTGAACACTTGTATCACTTTCATCCTTTCTCCAGGTTCATAGGGTTTCCGGAGGCAAGCTGTTTACGGAAGTGGATGCATCTCTTGCTTCTAAGCTTGTTAGAATCAAGGAATTTCACCAGACACTGTCCATCATGGGTAACCATTATCACATTTGACACATCAGTGTCACAGTGTTCAGATTCACAGCAACCACCAGTTACCTCTGTACAGCAAATGACCAGACCAGTGCTCTATGACCTAGAAGAGTATTTGACCAAAACCAATTAAAACCAGGCCTGAGGTCACAGATTAAAGTCACCACCTACCTTTGACTTGGTAGCATCACTTTCTGTCCACTAGGCCAACTGAACGTTCTCTATGTTGTTGTTAAGTGCCATCGAGTTGTAAGGCGACTCATAACAACCCTATGAACGAAAGACCCGAACACTTGTATAACTTTCATCGTTTCTCCAGGTTCATAAGGTTTCTAGAGTCAAGCTATTTCAGAAGTGGATGCCAGTCCTGCTTCTAAATTATTATTACTACTGTAAGAATTCCACTAGTGGGATTGTATTTAAGATATTTACTGTATATAGTCAGTCCTTAACAAGAAAAGATTATTTTTTTAAGTTTATTATTAATTCCAATGAAAATTTACAGAGACTTTGGATTTCCATTCATTCATTGTTGCACATTTCTCCTCTCCCAGCCCTACCCCCTAGTACACTACGCTCTTGGAAAAGTAAAAGAAATACTTTTTCATTGTTTCACAATCCCTCCCCCCAGGTCCACTCAGCTATACAGCCTTGGCTCTGGACTTCCTGTTATAACAAAATACCTAATCACATAATCCCTTTTAAACAGTTTTCTCCCTCATCTGTTTCAATGCAGTATACATTATTGAACTCATCCTTTTTAGTCTCCCCCCAACCCCGATGTCAGTCCTGTTTTACAACAGTGGCACCATGCAGTATTTGTCCTTTTGGGACTGAGATACTTCACTCAGCATAATGTCCTCCAGGATCACCCATTTTGAATAATACTGCATGAGTTTCTTGCTTTTCAATGCAGTGTAGTAGTCCATTGTGTGACTATACCACAGCTTCTCTATCCATTCATTTGTTGATAGGCACTTAGGTTGTTTCCAACTCCTTGCTATTGTGAACAAAGCCGCGATAAACATGGGTGTGCGTATATCTGTTTGGATGTCAGTTATGGTCTCTTTGGGGTATATTCCCAGTAGTGGAATTGCTGGGTCGAATGGTATCTCTATTTGCAACCTTTTGAGAAAGTGCCAAACTGCTTTCCACAGTGGTTGCACCAAGAAAAGACAAAGTAGCAAGCCATGCCTTATAAAAATTCTGCTGTGTTTGATTTCTCGGTCCAACTGCTCTTTCTCCTTTCACTTTTCCAGTTGTTTATGTTGTACTTACATTGCAAATACATACTTTTATGTAGTACTTTCTCACCATGTCTTCATAAAACATTCTCTTGCTTGTGTTCTTTCGTGTGTACCGGCTTAGTCACCTACATCAACTAAGGGTAGAAGTAGCAGTATTTGGGGAAAGATCAAGTTACTTGTTTGATGAAGATTAAAGGTAAAGGATTTAGAACAAAATGAAAATGTTTATTAGCCACAGAGAGGAGGTCACATCTTTGGTGCTCAGAGTATTTGCAGATCAGCTAACTTGCATGGCTACAGCCTTACTTGAGCGTGCCAGTTGTAGCATCGTGGAAACCAAGTGTGGTAGTTCGGCTTCCATAAGCTATGGCCTGGTCACTTTGCCATAACTAACATATCACAAGTCAGTTCCTAAAGAGACTTTTTACTTCTGGATGGCTGGGGTTCTGTTGGTAGTAGTGTCTGAGTAATTTTTAGTTGTTCATCTATTTGAAGAATCTAGGGACAAGGAAGGAGCTTGCTTCTCCCCTCCTTTCTTGAGTTACTGAAACATGCCAAAGGTACAACCATGGGGCAAGTCATTGTCCACAGAACATGCTGGTTCTTAAAAAACTGTATCTTGTTAGTTTCTTGACCATTTATTTCCAAGTTTGAGCTTTGTTGTTTGAGAATAGTATTGAGGGTACCATGGACTGCTAAGAAAATAAACAGATTCGTCCTGGAGAGGGTTAAACCGGCCTGCTCCTTGGAGGCAAGGATTCTGAGGTTTTGTCTGACATACTTTGTTCATGTTGTAAGGAGAGAAGACCGGTCCTTGGAGAAGGACATCACGCTTGGGAGGGTGGAGGGCAGGTGCAGGAGGGGAAGACCCTCTATGAGATGGATTGATTTGGTGATGGGGTAATCGGGATGAGTGTGTCGGAGACAATGAGATTGGTACAGGACAGAGGAGAGTTTAGGGCTGTTGTACATAGGGTTGCTATGAGTTGCAGGCGACTTGATGGCACATAACAACAACTTTCAAAAATATTTTAGGTATTTTTAAAAAAATACTTAACTGTTGTTAGGTACTTGCAAGTTGATTTTTGGCTTCTACTTTCTTCACGTGACAAAATAGAAATTTCTCATATTCTAAGCTGTAAACTTCATAGAAGTAGATTACCAAGTCTTTTTTCCTGTGGGACTGTGGGATGGCTTCAAATGTGTAACATTTTAGTTAGCAGCCAAGGGGCTTAACCATTGCACCGCCATGGCATCTTCAATTCCAAGCATAGTAATATTAAGGAAGTCACTAGGTGGCACAAATAGTTAGATATGTGGCTTCTTGTTGTACAACGACTCATAGTGACCCTATGAACAAAAGACCTGAAACCCTTCTATAGCTAATGTGGTTTCTCAAAGTTCCTAAGAATTTCCAGAGGCATATTGTGTAGGAACTGGATGCCATTCCTGCTTTCAAACCTGTCTTAAACTGGGAGTTCCACCAAACATTGCCCACCATAGGTAACCATTATGGCATTTGACACCCTACTGGCACAAGATTCAGCATCACAGCAGCCCCAGGTTACCTCAGTACAGCATACTGACAGAAGAGTGCTGTACCACTTAAAAGAATGTTCCCCAAAATAATTACAAATGACTTTAAAATACAAATAACCTCTCCAAGGTCTTGTTGACTCTAAACAAGAGGTTTAAAAATACTTGGCTACTAAATGAAAAATGGGTAGATTGGCTCAACCCAGGAACACCTGAGAAGAAATGCTTGTTGATCTACTGGAAGATCACAGCTGTTGAAATCTCAACTTCTGTGGAGCCATCTAGTTGCCTAAAATTCAGGAAATTACTTTTATCAGTAGTTGAAATTGATGGCAATTTTTAAAATTGTTTAGTATTGATATGATTGTATTTGCTCAGATAATAATTGGAGATTAGTTGGAGCTAAGATGTCTTTAGGAATACCCAGTGCTGCTCTGTTTTTCTTGGATTTTTAAGTGTAGGTGATCTCACACTAACAAACTCTTGAGGATTCTGGGAAGGAAAAATTACTTACTCTTTCTTTAATTTATAATTTTTTATTATTGAGATTTTAATAAAAGATTATAGAGAACTTGGATTTCCATTCATTCATTGTTGCACATTTTCCTCCCTGTCCACTCCTCCCCCCAGTTTTCTCTTTGAAAAGAAGAAAAAGTATTTCATTGTTACACAGTCCTCCTCCCAGTCCACTTTACTGTGCAGCTCTTATTCTGAACTGCTGCCATGCAAATAATACCTAACCATCTATCCCTTTTAAACAGTTTCTTCCCCTCATTTGTTTCAGTGCAGTGTACATTATTTATCCCATCTTTCTTAGGTTCTCCCAACCCTGATGTCATTCCGTTTTACAACAGAGGCATTATGCAGTATTTGTCCTTTTGTGATTGAGATATTTCACTCAGCATAATGTCCTCCAGGGTTACCCATTTTGTATAATATTTCATGAGTACCTTGTTTTTCAGTGCAGCGTACTATTCCATTGTGAGACTCTATCACAGTTTGTCTATCCATTCGTTTGTTGATGGGAACTTAGATTGTTTCTAACTCTTTGCTGTTGTGAACAAAACTGCAATAAACATGGGTGTGCATATATCTGCTTGGGCAGAAGTTATGGTTTCCTTAAGGTATATTTCCAGTAGTGGAATTTCTGGGTCAAATGGTGTTTTTGTTTGCAACTTTTTTACAAAGTTCCATACTGCCTTCCATAGTGGTTGCACCATTTAACACTCTCACCAACAGTGAATAAGAGTTCTAGTTTCTCCACAACCTCGCCAGCATTTGTTGTTTGTAATCTATAACATAATTTTTTAATGATTTAAAGATAATTTTCTTTATATGTAGTAATTTTGATTTGTTTTCCTTGTTTTTCAGTTCCTAAAGAGAATTCACTAATGCTGTTGCGAGCAGAATTACATTTAAACATGAAAAACTATGAGAAGTCTTTTCAAGATGCCAGTGTAGTTTGTTACAAGGACCCTTTTTTTATTCAGGTATTTGTATTTCATGATTTTGGAGATAATAAATGTGAATCTATGATATTTTCTTTGGTTCAGTAATTAGCCCATAAAATTTTTTGCTGTTGGAAATCACAGCTTGGATTTTTCCTTCTTTCAGCTTGAGAAATATTAAGTCCTTTTTGGTTTTTTTTCAATTCCAAATTTTTGCATATTTCATTCCAGTACTTTACTTTGCCTTTTTAAGTTGCCCTTTTCATTTATTCAGTTCATTTTAGTTACTCTATAGTCCAGGAAAAATTTTGTCTCTTCTCAAACCTTTTTTTTTATTTTAATTTTATACTGGTTTACATACAGTGTTCTCAAATCTCTATCGTGTTTTCTTTCCTTCCTGTCTTTTTAATGATATTTTTTGTTTCTTTCTTTGTGATACCCTCAATATCATCCCACAATTCATCTGTTCTTCAGTCATTAGTGCTAAGTATGCCAGATTTTTTTCTTTTTAGTCTACAAACTGATGACAAATAGTCAGAATTTTCTCAGTCACCAATAGGCTTGGGTCCATTGTTATGGTCATTGTGTCAGTCCATAGCTGTAGTCATTAAAGAACTATTCTCAGAACACTCATAATATTGTACGTCTAAATTGATAGAAAAAGTATACCCCCTTTTAAAGAAGGGAGACCCAACTGAGTGTGGAAACTACAGAACAATATCATTGATTTCACATGCAAGCAAGATTCTACTGAAGATTATCCAAAAACGACTG